CTGTCCGAGGGAGGAGGCGCGGCTGAGCCAGAACCTGCTGGAGCTGTGGCGGCGGCGAGGGCCCGTCTGGCAGGAGGCCCCGCCGCTGCCCGTGGACCCGCATCGGGACACCATCCTCGGCGCCATCGAGCAGCACCCGGTGGTCGTCATCTCGGGGGACACGGGCTGCGGGAAGACCACGCGCATCCCCCAGCTGCTGCTGGAGCGCATTCAAACTTTCAAGTTTTAAAAATTGATATCCATAGGAAGAAATATATTTTAGATCATGAATCATTAGGTACCCATATGTATGCATTTCTATTATATATACAATAAAAATTCCACAAAGTAACATTTACCCTTAGGGATCCTGCTCAAGGGCCTGCAGCGCCTCAACCCGGGGCTGCGGCTGGTGCTCATGAGCGCCACCGGCGACAACGAGCGCTTCTCCCGCTACTTCGGGGGCTGCCCCGTCGTCAAGGTGCCCGGCTTCATGTTCCCCGTCCAGGAGCACTACCTGGAGGACATCCTGGCCCGGCTGGGGAAGCAGCCGCCCCCGCACCGGCGGCACCACGAGGTGAGGCGCCACCCCCTGCCCGCTGGCCTGGTGGTCGGGCACCTTGCCTTCCAGGCCTTGGTCTCCTCTGTGGGGGGTGGTGAGGGCGGCAGGGGCAGCGTCAGCCACCTCAGCCCCCCTGAGCCCTGGCCCCGGGCTGACTGCGGCCTCTCCCCCGCTCAGTCTGAGGATGAATGTGCGCTCGACTTGGACCTCGTGACCGACCTGGTTCTGCACATCGATGCCCGTGGGGAGCCAGGTGGGTGCTCCCGCTCTGCCCTGTGCCCCCGTGTGCGTGTGTGAGGAGCAGCAGCTCATGCCTGCAGGGCCCTTTACAGGTGGGATCCTCTGCTTCCTGCCGGGCTGGCAGGAGATCAAAGGGGTGCAGCAGCGCCTGCAGGAGGCCCTGGGCCTGCACGAGAGCAAGTACCTCATCCTGCCAGGTGAGAGCCACGTGCGGCACGGCCCAAGCGCCCCTCGCCCGTCCTGGGGGTGCCTGACCCACCTGGGACTTTAGGGCTAGGGTCTCTGCAGACCGCACCCTTCCTGCTGGCTGTGCAGCCTCCCCTGAGCTCGCTGTGGGGAACTGGGGGTCCCGTGGAGCGGCGCCGTAAGCAGTGTGCTTGCTGCCCGCAGTGCACTCCAACATCCCCATGATGGACCAGAAGGCCATCTTCCAGCAGCCGCCCGCCGGGGTGCGCAAGATCGTCTTGGCCACCAACATCGCCGAGACCTCCATCACCATCAACGACATTGTGCACGTGGTGGACAGCGGTCTGCACAAGGAGGAGCGCTACGACCTGAAGACCAAGGTGCCCCCATCTCCGGGCCCGGCCAGCCCCCGGGGCTCCCTAGGCTGAGGTGGCCCTGCCCCGTGAGCCCCGGGCCTGCTGTGTCTGAACGAGGCCACACTTTCTGGGTCTCAGTGTTTCTGTGGGGGAAGAGGGGTTGTTGAGGGTTCGTGAGGTGACAGCCAGGCACCGGGGGCCTTGAGGTAGGCCTGTGGCATCTGTGTTGCTGCTCACCTGCCCCCTCCCCCAGGTGTCCTGCCTGGAGACGGTGTGGGTGTCACGAGCCAATGTGATCCAGCGCCGGGGCCGGGCCGGCCGCTGCCAGTCGGGCTTCGCTTACCACCTGTTCCCGCGGAGCCGGCTGGAGAAGATGGTCCCGTTCCAGGTGCCGGAGATCCTGCGCACGCCCCTCGAGAACCTGGTGCTGCAGGCCAAGATCCACATGCCCGAGAAGACGGTCAGCTGATTTCTGAACAGAGACTATGCAGGCCAGAAGGGAGTGGCAAGAAATATTCAAAGTGATGAATAGCAAGAACTTACAACCTAGATTACTTTACCCAGCGAAGCTATCATTCAGAATTGAAGGTCAGAGAAAGAGTTTCACAGATAAAGAGCTTCACAGATAAGAAAAAGCTAAAGGAGTTTATCACCACCAAACCAGTATAATATGAAATGCTGAAAGGTATCCTTTAAGAAGACGAAGAAGAAAAAGGAACTCTTACCATTTGCCACAACATGGATGGAACTGGAGAGCAGATAAATACCACAGGAACTCACTCATTTGTGGAATAAAAGGAACCACTTGTGCATGAATTCATGCATTGGGCCTCTAGTAAGTATATAAGTTCTTTGGTTTATCATTTCTTGTCCCCCCAAACCCCACATCGAGGTATGTCAGTCTGTTTCATGCCCCCCTGCTCAGGTCTTACTTTGTTGGTCAATTAATTTTGTTCATTAGATTCCACAAATAAGTGAGATCATGTGATATTTGTCATTCTCAAGTTTGGCTTATTTCACATAGCATAATATTTTCCAGGTCCATCCATGCTGTCCTGGGCTTCTGTCCGGCCCCGGAGGCTCGGGGCCCCGTTCACCCGGCGTTGCCTCCCCAGGACTCATCAAGCAGTTCTCCGAGAACATTTACGAGGCTTTCCTGGTGGGGAAGCCCTCGGACTGCACCCTGGCCTCCGCCCAGTGCAACGAGTACAGCGAGGAGGAGGAGCTGGTGAAGGGCGTGCTGATGGCGGGCCTCTACCCCAACCTCATCCAGGTGCTGCCCTGGGGAGGCGCTGCCCCCGCCCCACCTCTGTCCCCCGTCTCCCGCTCCTGGCTTAGCCCGCCCTTTTCTGTCACCTGCAGGTGCGGCAGGGCAAGGTGACCCGGCAGGGCAAGTTCAAGCCCAACAGTGTCACGTACAGGACCAAATCCGGCAACATCTTGCTGCACAAGTCGACCATTAACAGGTGGCGGGGCCGGGAAGGCTGGGGGGGCCGCTCGGAGGGGCCAGGGGCGGGACTCACCGGTTCCTCCCTCCCCAGGGAGGCCACGCGGCTGCGGAGCCGATGGCTGACGTACTTCATGGCCGTCAAGTCCAACGGCAGCGTCTTTGTCCGGGACTCCTCCCAGGTGCACCCCCTCGCTGTGCTGCTCCTGACCGATGGGGACGTCCACATCCGTGGTGGGTGCCCGTGGGCCTCGCGCCCCTCACTTGGGCTGGAGGGGCTGGGCTGTCCTCAGGCCTGGCCTCACGTGGCTCCTGGTCCCTTCCTCCCCAGATGACGGGCGCCGGGCCACCATCTCGCTCAGCGACAGCGACTTGCTGAGGCTGGAGGGCGACTCGCGCACGGTGCGGCTGCTGCGGGACCTGCGCCGGGCCCTGGGCCGCATGGTGGAGCGGAGCCTGCGCAGCGAGCTGGCCGCGCTGCCCCTCGAGGTGCAGCAGGAGCACGGGCAGCTGCTGGCCCTGCTGGTGGAGCTGCTGCGGGGGCCCTGCGGCAGCTTCGACGTGCGCAAGGCGGCCGACGACTGAGCCCTGCTCCGAGGGCTGTGTACAGAGTGCAGATGTTTATTTAAAATAAAGTTCTATTTATCCCTTGTGAGCATCGCTGTCCGCGGGGGCCCTCCTGTGGCCTCAGCCCCTGGGCGTGGGCACAGGCTGTGGCCCCAGGTCTTAGGAGGAAGGGGGCGAGAATCCACTCCAGAGCGTGGCTGCCCATGTTAACCAGTTGGACCTCTGGGCCAGCTCAGCCTTTCGTCACAGCTGTCCCTGTCCTTGCAGGTGGGGCCAGCAGTCCTAGTCTCCCTCCCTGAGGCGGTGGTCCAGCCTGGCTGCCACCTCCAGGCCAGGCAGACGGGAAGCTCCACGGGCAGCCGTGGCTCTGGGACCTGCATCCTCGGGGCCTCCGGTTGCGCGGCAGCCTGGCCACAGCTGGGTCTGCTCTGGGGCGTGGCCACACCTCACGGAGGAGGAGCTCAGCTGTGAGACCACACTGTGCATGGCAGCCCTCGACGCAAGAGGACGAGCCGGGTGTCGTGATGCTGGAGGGCAGACACCAGGGCACAGAAGACAGGGCTCAGATGGGACGTCATGAGCTTTGTTTACTCTTGAAATGGTTACAGCAGTCACAGACACGTCACGGCTGAGCCACGGCCTTCGGCGGCACAGGAACGCCCAGCCCCGGTGGCTGCAGCCAGTGCCCAGCGCAGCCCCCTCTGCCTCTGGCTCCTGGGACCCTTCAAGAGCCACAACTAACCGAGTGGGAGGAGCCAGTCTTGTCAACCTGGCATCGTCCTGGCGGATCAACGGGCACAGGGACCCTCAGGCCCCATCACCCCTCCCATGTCTCCTGCCACCCCCATGCCCTCCTCTGGCTGACAATACATGTGCCCTGACTGCCCTGCACAGCCGAGCATCCAGACACAGTCTGGCTCTTGCATTTTCTCTGAGACCTGCAGCTTGTAGGCGCGTGGAAGCAGGGCATGTGGGGACAAACGCCCCCACGGAAGACGCTGCCGCAGAAACGGGGAGATACCCTGCCCCCCTTTACATCAGAGCCCCCACCATCCCAGCGCTGGGACAGGGCTGAGGGCAGGAGGCCATGTCACTACAAACAAGCAGGTTTAATCCTTTATTAGAAACCATGCAAACTTTAATACAAAAAATACAAGTGCAGTCAGAATCTTCGTGTCAGTGATTCCCAGGATTCTCCTCGGCAGCCTTCGCGCCCGGCTGGGACCCTCGCAGGCTGGCCTCGCCTCGCTCCCTCGTCAGGCTACAGGGACGTGGGGTGGCCTCAGTCTCATGCCTTTATTTTTAAACTTCTGGACCTGATTCCCCAAATGCCCACACGGTTTTGGATCCCTCGGGCTCCCTGGGGGCCGAGGCTGGAGTGTCCTAGGCCGGCAGGGCCCTCCCAGTACTGACCTGTCTCCCACCAGATCCCAGGAATGAGACCGACGTGGCAATTCCAGCCTCGGTCAGAGAAGCAAAGCAGCGTCCGCCGAACGCCAGAGCCACCCGTCCACACTCGCGGCCCCTCGGCTCTCCCTGCTCAGCCCGCGCCCTGCCCTGCCCACACCGCTTCGGCCCAGCTGCCCGGCCCCCGCCCGACCTGGCTGTGGGGTCTCGGATCTCCCCTCCGTTCCTTTAAAAACACCTGCTGAAGACTTTCCTTTAACGTGACTTCAACCTGCACAACCACTCCACCAGTTTTTAGGTTTTTAAAAAAGGGATAAAACAAGGGGAAAAGAAGTATGACAGCAGCTAGAGAGGCCTGGGAGGCAGTGGGGACAGGCAGCCTGGCCCTCACAGGAGGGGCGGCAAGAGGGGTCTGGCACCCCCTGCAGTGGCATCAGTGGGGGCGAAGGGAGAGGCAGTGGCTTAGTGAGCTCCAGGGGACACTCAGGGCTGGGCATCCATCATGTGGACACCCCCTCTTCCCTCCAGGTGGACCCAGCAAGGAGGGAGGGTGTGTCTGTTTTTCTTGGGTTTGGTCCAAAAAACCCAAACGAAGAGGTTGGAATCTGGTTCCTTCCTCAGATCCCACGTGAGCCTCCCCTACCTGCTTCTCCCAGCTTCCCCCTTGGAGCAGTGATGCGAGGATGAGCCAGGAGCAGAGCAAGGAGCTGGGCCTGAGGCAGGGGCTGGGGTGGGTCAGGGGGCGCTACTGAGCCAAAGGCCCGGGTGCCTGAGTTGGGGCCACCCAGGAAGTGGGGGGGGCGAGAGACAATGCTGGCCCCGTGGTCGGTGCGGGCCCTGGCATTTGCCCGGAACGTCAGCCTGTAGGTCTCAATCTGCAGTGACACGGGAGGCGGGACGGGAGAGGGGAACGAGGGAGACAAGAGGGCAACACAGGGGACGGAGACGAGACCAGAATGTCAGCGTTAGATGCCTGGAAAATAAAAGGTCGCGTCGTTAAAATTCGGGTCCCCCCAGCCGGCACACAGAGAGCCACGCAGCCAGTGGCGGGCCCCCCGCCGGCCCGCAGGCGAGCCCGCCACTTAGTTGTCTCCGGGATCTGGCCGTCCAAGGTCTGGGCCTCCCTTTGGTCACCACCCCCCGCCAGGGCGGTGAGGCCACTGGGGACACTGACTGACGTGGGGGCGCCAGCTTCGGGCGCAGCCTCAGGGACAGCCAGCTCCTCCCCAGCGGGGGGGCCCGGGCTCGGAGGGGCCTCGCTGCCGCCGCCCTCAGTCTACAATGAAACAGTGGACAGTGCAGGGTCGGTCCGAGAGGGAGTGGGATGGAGGGATGGTGGGTTTCACACACAGCCCGCCCCCCCTGCCCCTGACCCCCTGATTAAGGTGCAGTCATCTGGAGACGCTAGGCCGGTCCCCCCGCCCTTCCCACCCCTGAGGGGCTCCTGGCGGGCGGCCTGGCCCAGGCAGGGAAACGGGCACAGGGGCCTCTGCAAGCACCGCCGGGAGCTCTGCTCCTCAGACCCGAGCCGGACAACGGCAGCCATGACAGCAGGTGGCAGCAGGGCCCCAGGCCGGGCAGTGTTAGGAACGACCTCACCAACAGAGAAAGGGAAATGTGTGATAAAGACCAGACCGCAGGGCGTGCGGTCAGAAAGGCCAGAGTGAGCCTCGAGGCCTCAGGCCTGAGACCGGCTGGAGAGCTGCGGGCGGAGGGAGGCTGGTGGGTCTAGAGGCCGAGGCGGGGGACACGGGGGGTGTGTGTGTTTGGGGTGTGTGTGGGGGAGGGGTACTGCCCCCACCCTCAAGCGCACAAGCTGGAGGCTACGCCCTCTACCCCGGTGACATGACAGGAAGGAGACAGCCCTGGCACAGGAGGGTCACAGGGCTGTGGAGGGAGGTGGGAGGGAGCGGGGAGGACAGAGGAGGGCAGGGAGGAGAGACCCAGCCAGTCCAATGGGGACGCTCTGCAGGGAGCGAGGGCTCACCACCGCGGTCCCTCCAGAGGCCGGGCCGCCAGCCTGCTGGGGGGCGGGAGCTGCGTGCAGCCTAGCGGGGCACACGGATCCACAGCCGAGAGGCAGCGCGGACTGTGCCCAGCCCGCGTCCCTCTGAACGTGACTGACAGGAGTCCAACAAGGCAGGCGGGCCATGGCCTAGCCCAGTGATGGCGGACCTTCTGAGCTCGGCGTGTCAGGTTCGCCACCACTGGCTTAGGACAAGGTCTGTCCCCGCTGGGGTCTCACCTCCCTGCCTCGCCCAGGACTGATGGTGGACGATGGGAACAGCACTGTGCGGGGGCGACATGACTCCTGAAGAGACTGAGGGGCGGCGACAGGCCCACCTGCTGGGACCCAGACTCCCCTGCACCCCACTCCTCCCGGCCTCGGCCTCCACGGACCCCCTCACTACCTTCACGGCCCCGCCCGCGGGCAGGTGGCCCACGTTCTCCAGGGACCCCACCTTGGCCTGGGCCTTCTCCTTGAAGTTCAGCTTCTGACTTTCAATCTTGACATCTCCGCCACCTGGAACCGAGAGGGCACCGGTCACCGAGGGCCCAGACGCCTGCAGGCCGGGTCAGAGCGCAGGCACAGCCTGAGGCGCCCCTAAGGGTGCCAGGTGGCACCTTCCTGACAGTGTGCAGGGTGCACTGGCCTCCTGTCTGCCCATGACACCCACCCACCAGGGACAGGGCCCTTGTTCCACAGCTGCTGGCACTGAGCTGGGAAGCGACTTGTCCAAAGTCACCACCAACCAGTGAGGGACAGAGCCAGCGTCTCACCCCATCACACTGTAGCGACAAGAAAGGGGCCACCGGCCTGGGGTGTGTGAGTTGAGAAAAGGCGGGGCCAGCACCAGGATCCTGAGCCCTTAAGCGGGGAGGTGCCCCAGGGGGTCGCAGGGTCAAGGGTCAGCCCAACCCACGGCCTGGAAGCCTAGGAAGGTGGCTTTCGTCTCAGCTCACGTCACACACTGACCCGGTGCTTCCCACATGGCCAGGGTCCTCCGCGCCCAGCCCCCACCTCCCACAAAGCTGACCTCCAGCCGAGGGGGCCGGGGGGGGGGGTCTCCCCAGAGGGTTCCAGATGGAGGAAGGGAAGGAGAGTTGGTTGGGGCGAGCCATCTCCATCGTTGTAAATGGAACTGTTCTACCACGGACGAGAGGGCAGGGAGCTCCTGGCCGTCACCTAAGCCAGCCACGTGACTGGCCCAAGGCCGCAGCCGCCAGCCGGTGTGCCCGCCGCTGCAGCGGGACCTCCCAGAGCGGGGCTGGCGCTGCACTGCCGGGGCCCCACCCTGGAGCCCAGGACACCCTCCCCGGACCCGGTCAGCGGCACCTCGCACACAGAGCGTCCTCCAGACGAGGCCCCTGCAAACGCAGCCTCTACTCGGCTGCTCCTCCCACTCCCTGAGGGCCAGGACCCCGGTGCATGGCCGACAGAGGGTGACCCCCGCTGGCCGCGCACACAGGGCGGAGGGACTCACCCGGCTTGTGCTTGATGTTGGCCTTGGACCCACACTTGGAGGAGACCTTGGAGATGTCCACCTTCTTGCTCTGAATCTGAACCTGAGAAAAAAATGACAAACACAGACACTGTCTCAGACGGAGAACATGCCCGGCCAAGGCCACTCCCTTTAAAATCCTTGCATCCAAGTTCAAGTGTCTTCTCTCCCTACTGAGCTCCTAGCTTAGTCTGTTCAAGGTCAGGGTCACCTTCCAAAAGTGCTCCCTGCGTGCGGCCAGACCGAACACGTTTCCACGCGCATCTCCGCCCTCTCCAGGCGACCGCCAGACAGCTTTCCTCCCCTTTTTCTGGATCCCACTCTCTTGAACCACACCCCCCCCACCCCGGCTCTACCTCGAACCCGGCCCATCTACTCGGTGCCCAGAGGTTCTGGCCTGTTTCCTTCCAGTTCTTTCCATGCATCTCCCCCTGCGGCTGACAGCACAGATTCTACCATCGACACACATACAGGGTGTGGCCAACAGACTCTCCTGGGACCGGCCACGCAGGAGCCGCGCAGAAGCACCAGGGCAAGAGCCTCCATGGACAGAGACCCCGCGGGACCCCAGCTGCCCCTGCTTCTGCGGAAGAGCCTGGCTCTCCACACACCCACGGCCTCCGCGCGGCCCTCAGAGCCGCCAGCCGCGGCCTCCCGCCTCCTGGCCTCGTCTGCCTGGTGTCAGGAACCAGGGTCGCCCAGGGGAAGGGTCCCCGCCCACAGCCGGGCCTGGCACGGAGCAACTCCCACACCAGCAGCCTGAGCCCCTCTCCCATTCACAGACCTTTCACACGCTTCCCTTTAGCGGAGAGGAGAGGCCTTTTTAAGCCCCGAGAACCTGTAGTGGTTGTCTTCCCACACAGACTGGATTTGGAAGCATCAAGGCTGCCTGCCCCCGAGCCCCGCCCTCAGAGGCTGCCTTCTCCACGTGGCCTCTGGG